ACTAAAAAAGTACCTTCCGAACGGAAATTGAATGCTCTTCAAGGAACTGGGCTCAGAATTTGGATAGGGCCTTTAGTTTTCCTCTATTTTGAAACGAAATGGAAAAAAATGTTTAAAAAATCCCAAATTTTAACATTTTCTAACTTTAACATAGATTTATGACGTCTTTAAGGCGCAAGTATGCAACCAGGTATCATTCGAAAGCACGTGGCATAGGAAAGACGATGAAAGTTACCGTGAATCGATTGCTCAATTACATCGGACACGGGTTTGGGCCCAAAACCGATTTTTGCGTCCAAAAATCGAAAATCGGCCCTGAAAACCCGAAAAAACATTTTCAGATCAAAAAAATATGCCCATTTCGGTTATGATAGGACACCCAATGAATAAGAAAAGTTCGGTCGCTTTCCAGGAACAGAAAATCTTTCATTTTTTGTTGCATAGTGATTGCCTGAACTGGTTTCCTGCTAACGAGCATCCCGGAAAGCGGCGGGTGATAAAAAAAAAAGATAAGGACATGGGTATTGGGTAGGTAAGCCTTGCGCTTGGAAACGAAAGGAATGAGAACTACAGGACCATCATGATCATACCGACCATCCCGATCGTACGACGAAAAGAACAGATACATCGGCGTTTAGCAGTCAGTCGAGCCAGTGAAATACATGCTCCCAAGAATCGCTCGGACATGTGATACAGCACGGTGAGTGTTGTTCGTGTTCCAAAGCTCCTTGTAATTCATTTCCGGTAGTTATTTGGGCTGACCTTGCTCAAGGTCATAGACTCGTACTGCCGGAGAGGGTGTCCCTGTTCAGTCCACGCATGCTGAGACACGCGCGCCTTCGGTTTCTAAAGTTGTTTAGCAGCCCGCAAACATACGATCGGTTCTAAGCGAACAACCATTTGGATATATCTGTGCCCTGTGGGTTATGAATTATGTGGGATCTGTGTGGAAGAATCTCTTGAGCCGCTAGAAATGTGGGCATTTACATATAAATGATCCAATTATTCGCTAGTTGATTTTTAAAATGTATGAGTTTGAGTATCGGTGAAGAAAGGTTTATTTTAGCGAAGGTTATTAGGTATGTTTTACTCCACATTCCGTTTCCTTTGGCAATGTCTATTGCAATGTATGCGCATTGTGTACACCTTTTTGCACTCAAAATAGGCATCTTTTCATTCAATTTCGGCGAATTGCATTCAATTTTAGCGATCTCTCATTTGCTTCGAATAGAGAGATCGCTAAAATGGAATGCAATTCGCCGAAATTGAATGAAAAGATGCCTATTTTGAGTGCAAAAAGGTTATAGGTGTATCGCAGGCCTCCATATAAACCAGACCAAATATATGCTCTTATTATCGGGTAAAATATTGACTCCTTTGTACTGCTGACCAGATCGCAGTACTGATCCCAAGCCTTGCAGACCACAGAAGCGTGCCTACTATAACATGTCGGCGGCTCTCCGGAGCTCTCACAGGCTCTCTGTTGGCCGTGGGCAGTCCGCGGCGAACTCTTGTTCTCGTGTGCCTGGGTGGCGGCACGTGAAGCTATCAGACGCCACAGGGGTGGATCTATCGAGACCAGCCGACGGGGCGGACCCCTCCTCCATCACGGACCACCGCAGGAACGCGCCTTCTACAACAGCGAAACCACAGGAACCGTCCCGATCAAAATTAGCTACATCTGTCTAACTCTGGCCATGGCAAGGTCACACGCTTGATCGAATGATCACTGTGCTCGCCCGGTGTTTAATGAAATGTTGCGTTTAATTGTAAGCTTATACGGACATTTTTATTTGACATCGGTTTGTTGCGTCAATATTGCGTCCTTTTCCCTTATTTTACATAGTTGTAACGAAATGCTTATGAATATAGCTCAAACTAATAACCACGTCGATGAACTTCAGTAGTAGTCAATAAATGCTCAAGGCTGCTCGCAAAGATCAGCCCATTCTGTGAGGCTTGGGGAGGAAAGTACGGATAAAAATAAATGTATAGCACACAGCTCACATCAGCCGTAATTTCCAGTAGCAAAAAGATAATATCTAATTCTATGCTTCTGCACGTACACTGTAGGTAAAATGTATATGCTGTGCCCTTAATGACAATAGGTACATTGATTTTCAAGGCGTGTTTTCATGTTTGGTTTAGGATCAAACACGATACGAGCAAGTATTGAAGCAAGTATATGTGTATCCACATTTCTTGCTTTATTATCATACATGTATCATATGCCGACTCCGCTAACCAATCCCATAAGTGATTGAAGTTCTTTCTGAAATGGGATTCGCGATAATAAAACATATGACAAGTTTCATAACAGAGGTTGCAGCAGATATGCGGAAAGCACTCCACCATGAATTGCTAATGGTGCACGTCCATTCAGCGGCCAAATATGCAACACCTCAGCTCCAAACATTTGTGTTTGTTCGTAGGTATAATAACAAAATCTGTGTTCGCTCATACTAGGTCAGCACGATATTTCTTACCTGCATTTTCTTTTCTGATCTGCACAGACCGGATGTATGCGAGACTCGAGAGGTAAGAAACAAAAGCATACAGCTGCCGTAACTGCCGCATTCCGATTTGAGATATTTTTTATTTAAACCTTTATCTTTCCGTTGAGCTGCTTCGTATACAGCCGCGTCCACAAGAGCCGAGCCAACACATTTGCATGGAAAGCAAATAATGGACCTAATCAGTAATCGCTCGTGCGTTCTTATAAATTAGGAAGGAACCTCATTCTATTTGAAATGATGCATGTAAAAAACGTAAGAAAACGAAATAAATATATCTTCTGTACAGATAAGGCCTCCATACAGACGGGCACACGCCATCCTTACTGTCCGTAGCCGACACCCTGACGCCTCCTCCCTCCCCCACCTTGCAAGCTCGGCGCAGAGTGCTGAGGACATGTCAATAGGAATTGGTCACGCTGTTCAATGTACCGATGGAGACCATTTGAAAAGACGGTGAGACATGGACACACACTACGTTTATGGCATGGAGACAATGGTGGACTTCACATACACCCGAGCTATGTAGAAATAGACCTAAGGATCGCCTTGTATAATCACCGGATCATGCTCAGGCGTTCCACCATCCTGTGAAGTAGACTGCAGTGTGGAGATCGTGCCGAGCGATACACGAGTCGTGCCATCTGTGAACAGGATGCTAACCTTGTACCATTCACTACTTTATCAGCTTCCATGAAACGGGTTCCGGTGAGGAGCAGCTATACGGTATAATTGTGCAGTTTCAAACAAACATGTGAGGGAGGACAATGGACGGTATCCACTGCCAAATGGTTGAGCGAATTAAGATCGTGGAGACGGAAACCGAAGGCGATTGGTGCCGGAATGCGGTGCCAGCTGCATGCAAGACCCTACTGGGACGTCTTGTAGACTGAAGTGAATGTTTGGTGGGCGCAGAGAAGGAAGATTTCAGTGCACGATATCGACACGATTTTGATAGGCATTTTGGAAGCAAGTGAAACAGCTTACGGTTGGACTATGGGCAGCCAGTACACCTTTGCAACTGCATACCAACGTCTACACAAACTCAGGTACGCCATTCCAGAGGTTAATAGGAATCCTTCCTTCCTTACGTCATAGGTCACTTATTTCTTTGCTTATTATTGCATTTATCCGCATAACTGTAAAACACTACCAGTCATAGTCGAAATGCTAACCAATTAGAGCGCCGTCGTCTCGTAGCAAGTGCTTTCCTCAAAGTCCTATAAGTAGAATGATCAGCATACCCTAACCTGTTATTGTCACTGGATGTTTTAACTCGCCAAGCCAGTTGGTCCCAAGTGATACACAGCTAGCCTGAGAGCCTCAGTTTAGCAGAGCTTGATCAATCAGACAACCGATGGACCGCATTGATGATCTGGTTGACTCAAGAGTGACGCATCATCGATCTTACGCACGGATCTTTGAGTGTCCGAATCAGTACCGTCACCGTGTGTGGTGATGGCGTGCCAAATTGGCCAAAAGTAAACACGGCTGTGATCATGATAACAAATATTTATTATTACAACATACAGTCAATCACAGGACATAAGAAATAAATAAGGATGAATAAGCAACAGACATGACTGTCTCTTGCTTAAACCTAAATACCTCTAAGAACTAGAGAAACTTTCACACAAGGAACAAATCAGAGAACATCAACTTCTCTAAAAATAGAGAATATATTCATCGGCACTTAATAGGGTTCAGCCTCATTTCGAATGGTCTACTGGTAGCGGGGGCCTGTATCCGACGATGACACGCTCGTACTGGGGCTCCCCACGGACCTCCTCCTCATCATCATCCTCTTCCTCCTCCTCCTCCTCATCCTCTTCCTCAGACACCTCCGGGTGTACTGGTGGGCACCGGGGTGGGCAGGTGGGGTCGCCCTGCGCCTGGAAGCCCTGCTCGCCGCCGAGTACACCACCGTGTAGGTGACGCCGTCGGGGGCCGTGTAGCTGACTGGCCCGACACGCTGTAGCTGTCGTCGTCCTCCGGCTCGCCAGACTCCGACACAGAGATGCCGTTCTCACTCTCGAAACTGGCGGACAGAGGCGGGCGTTGGGTTAGAGAAACACTGAAGACACTGTCATAAATGAGGATGGTGGTTCTCACAAACATGTAACTACGAATGTCTTTTTGTTGAACAAAAGAGTTTCTCGTTTTAGAGCCACTTTACTTTCCCTAGACTAAGCAAGGCACAACAAATAGAATACCAAGCTGGGCTTCAAATGCTCTTTGAAACTTCCTTGACGATTGATCTCGAGTATTGCGACGTAAGAACAATTACAGAAGCCGACCACTTTTCGAACAATTGACTGCCGTTCGAACAGTCGACCGACCGTCGCCAGTGTAGATACTCACGAGTGTTGGTAGGACTGGTCGTCGTTGTGGTCGATGTTCTGTCGGAGGATCTCGACAATGTCCCTCTCGTAGGGGAGCTCCGACGGGGCGGCGGCGGCCACGGCCAGCACGGCGGCGAACACGATCTGAAACGGAACAGACGTCATGGCGGAGGGTCTAAACTGCAACGGCATCGACCTCTTGCAAGTATAGGGTCGAAAGTTTATGTATCATGTAAATAGTAATTTATCTTAGTTATTTAATTCATTTAATTATTTTGTTGACAGTGCAGTTAAAAAGACGGCTAGGTGTGCACCTAAATTATAAACAAATTTAAAATAAAATATTGCCGGAAGCTTTGTCCAGCAACTCCGTGACTGTGAAACAACTATTGATTCAAACAGCTTGGCAATATCCTTAGCGTGGTGCTAGCCATGCCGTCGCTGAGTGCTGCTGGTGCCTCCGTCTCTTCACTCACCAGCTTCATGTTGTTGTTGAGATGGTAGTCAGCGGTGAACTGTGCCTATCTGACGCCGGTCGGCCGTTTTATAGTCGGTCCCCTGTCCTCGGCGTGGTCCCCGTATAGAGTGTCCTGTATCCCAGTTGGGACATCTAAGGCCACCAGTCCTGGCGAGGTCACCCTCCGGTCAGCCCTGCCGACCGCGGCGTGGGCACAAGTGCGGGTGAACTTTCCCGGCTCCGCGAGAGCAATTAAACAGAAATACCGGTCAGACATTCGAACTGGGCAAGGTCGGGCTATTGATGAAACCGGGACTGTGCAGAGATGTGACCACCATTCATGGGCACGCGGCATTCAGGGGCAAACGAGATTTAGTACAAGTCCCGTTGGGGGTCGACGCGAGGACATGTAACGACGGCGCCGGTAGCCCTTATTGGTAGATACACGACCTTATGCATGTACAGTTTTAATGAAATGAGACTTCTATACACCAAGAGTTCTATGATGCATGCAAACAAAAACATACTGATGTTTGTCACTCATAATTCTTATCTATTCACACTCGCCGAAGAACAGTTGAATAGTCAGCGACCCTAACGCTCCGAGTGGGTAAGTAGGGGAGACCCGGGAGGTATGGGCCATCGCAGTTTTGAAGAAGTGTTGCGTATTTTTACACATTTGACCACGTAAACTGATAGCAGCCATTTCGTTATGCAACCTATGTGATTTCCAAAATCTTCCTCAGTCTTTTTTGGCAATGAGCGGTGATAAAGCGTTTTTGCCCTCTTCGAATAAAATACGAAACATAAAGTAAATTCGCGATCAATGTGAACCAGGATCGATTTATTATGTCAGACCATCGCTAGCAAAAAGTGTAAAGCATGCTTATTAAGACTGGATAGACAATTTGAAGCTTCCTCGCAAGATTATGAGCTGAGATGCTACGCGCATTCTGACGTCCTAACCGGGAGGTTCGGGCCACCCGCCTCCATTGATCCTAAATCAATAAAATGATGCTTTCTTTGAATGTCCTCTTCAATAACAATTGTTTTTGTCGCACATGGCCGAAAATTTAACTACAGACTGCATTTGAACATACAAATATTGTTTGTCTTATTTATTTCATGGAACCGGATTGAGTTACCCATTATAAATAGGTGCCCAAGTGGCCTCCATGAAGTAAGCTGTTGGCCTATTATGCGGTGCCTGGGCTCTAAGAGAGCTCAAGTTAGATCCCAGCTAAGAGTATTGTTCTCAATGTCGAAAAAAGAATATGAAACATGACACCGGCCCATACGTCCCGGCCCATGGTCCATACCTCCCGGTGTATTTTGCTGGATCGAAAAGGCGCATGATTTATTGAAAGCTATCTCGAGACAAAATAGTTGATCCCAGATGCCTAATATCAGGCACATTTTGCTGGTGGAAGACAATTTCACGTACCTACACAGAGTGAAAAACCGGGTCTAGACACTACTCACTGGAAGAAAATTACCGTTTCACAAAACCGGCCCATACCTCCCGGGTCTCCCCTACCTATCTATTTTTATGCATTGTACACATCTGCCCGGATTAGCGCTAACGTTCAATATTAAACGTCAAATTGACATGACATGTCATTAAAATTGGGCACTATGTTAATCAGAAACGTCATGAAACGTAATTCCTTTAGCAGTCTAGCCTATAAAACTCGCATATTTTTATTCGCTGACTGTGACTAGTCACACACTGTTGAAATCGAGAAATTGGGACGGGGTACCCGACATCCTATATAAACTGTATAAACTGTTCTCACACTGGATGCTCACTCGCGCTGGTGCTGTATAAGGAAAAAAGCTATAATCGGCAAATAATGATGGACAAGCGTCAGCCGAAAGCTCTTTACAACTTATTAGCAGTGCTTAGCTGGCATGAAAATGTAATCCCCGGATCCAGCGTAAGGATCTAATTCACATCTAGCAGAATGCATGCCTGCTCAGGCTCTCCTTCTTATGGGGTTTGCACAAACAATGTGTAGTGTAATTATAGTTACATTGCAGGAACGAACGAGGGCTGACGGGCTTGGCGTGGTGGTGGATCCCCGATCAATGTTAGGTCCATATGCATCTTGGTACATTATTTCACATCAGACCGCTTTCTGAACTTTAGAAATACATATTCTAGTCGAGATGAGAAGATTTTTCTCATGAAGCCTGAAGATAATGTTGTCTACAATCTTAATTAATTTCCCTTTAAAATACCATGGACCCCGTGGTGCATCGATCCGCAAGGAATATCCTTCCCCACACTCTTCTTTTGTATAAGCCTATCACTTTATGTGCCAGCTCCCCCCCCCCCCTCCGTTCACTTGACTGTTGGGCCCTCCCCATCTGCCCTGTCAGTCCAAGTTGATCTATAGCAGCATATATGCATGTTCCTTGTTCACCTATCGACATAATTATTGGTGGCATGTCGTGATCTCCCGATGGCCTGTCTTGAACCAGTTAAACGTCAATGACCCTCGATGACAGTTCATCTGACCTCGGTGGCCCAATGACCTGTCACTGTGACCTGGCTTACTGACACTCGGTGACCTTTCGATATGACTTTCGGTCTGACCTTTCTATGTGACTCCCGCTAGCCGACCGCCGTGACTCCGCTGTGACCTGTCAGCACTACCCCTTGCCCTGTCCACGTGACTCTCTTTTACCGTACCTTATCACAATGACCTCTATGTGACCTGTCCCGCCCCTGCCTCCAGGCGATGTGAGCCGCAGTATCGTCTGTATCTGCACCACGCTGGAGTGTCAGCAGGCGGGCGTGAGCACCTGTACCACCACCGGCATGTGCTACACCCAACAGCTAAGGCGGCTCGACGGCGCCGACCCCATGACCAGAGGCTGTGTCAGGTCAGTGGGGTGGTTTTTGGCCATCTCAGCCGGGTCAGTACTAGGGGAATTATGTAAATGAGGGATCGAGAGCTATGTCTTGTTGCAGTAAGTCCGCTTTGGAAAGCTCAGTCCCTATCCCAAGTAATTTGTACTTGTGCTGTGGTACCTACCCACCAACTAAGTATTCATGTGATATTCGCGAGAAAAAATTAGAAAGGCTTGAAGCCCGCGAAGGTGCCCTTTAAGCTTCAACGTTGCAAACGGCTTTGGGGCTGAGCTGCGCCAATGGCATCTTAAACATTAATTGCAACGTGGAATCTGTGATATTAGACGTCTAACACGTGATCTCTCATCTAAGACCCGGTAAGTCATGACTCGTGATCTCTGGCTGCGACCTCTGACCTCTGACTCGTGACCCGTGTTATATTCCCAGGGGCGAGACGCCTCTAATGTGTGACCACCTGCTGCCGACCCACGGGGAGGACTACCGGGCCAGCTCCATCTGCTGCGGTACCCCGCTCTGTAACAAACAGGTGTCGCTGGCGTCTGGCCGCGGCCGTGGCCCCGGAGGGACCAGGAGACACGAGCAGCACGAGCAGCGGCGGACCAGCGGCGCCAAACACGGTAACGAAACTGACGGGGGTGAATAGTGTACAGCAGATGCTTCGGTTATGCAAACTCTTACGAAGCGAAACCTGCTATAGAGAAGTTTGCTTTCGAGGATACGTGTGCCTACACTTAAAACATCCTCGACGACCTATGCTGGACCGAACGTCTTATTCACGTCTAAAAACGGCGAGGAGAACGTCTCATATTTGACATACCGTGAATCAAGTGTCTAATTTCTTTGGTACACAATGTGTGCATTGTGGTCTACAAGATTATGTAACGTTGTTGGCAACGCTTATGTCCATGGAGACTTGTTCTCAATCTCGAATAGCGAACTGTGCCCTAATCGCCGTTTTCGTCCGCGGCCACCGCACGGCCACCATCCTCAGCTTCAGCGCCACCTGTGCCGGCAGATGTTTCGGTGAACCGGACGCTAGAGGCGCTGCTGGCGCTGGGAGGTCGTCAGGGGGCGGCCGGCTGGAGGCCCGGTCCACTGGTCATCTCGGTACTGGCCGTCGGACTGGCCATGGTGGTCGGCATTAGCGCGGCGGGGATCTACATCCTACAATCAAATAGGTACTATACACCACGACTGAGCATGGTCGGCTGTAGTGAACTTTGGTTAGATGCAGCAGTCGGTAATTCAATAAGCAATGATGACGCATGACGCACGGGCTATTTTTTCTTTTTCCATCGAACAATATTTAATTATTAACCTAAACATGTGGAGCATTTGACTTCATTCGGCTGGCTTTGGCTAACTTATGTATCCTCTCCATCGCGTCTGCACCAGCTCACGACTGATCAAGTCATCGTCCTCTGAGTCCTCGATTATTCGTGGTCTCAGCGATCCGGGAGCTTGTACTAATTTCTGATTATAAGCCCATACATGCAGCTTCTACTGTCATCATGATTAGACACATCGCTCATCTGTGGATCAGTCTAACTGTCTTCGCTGTGCATCCCTACGTTGTTGTGCACTGCGTACAGTGTTTTAGCCTTCTAAACCTAATAAACTGCTCGATTTCACAGGTTCGTAGCGGAAGTCCCATTCTCAGCGTGTCCTCGCGACCACGTCACGTCCTGAGCGTCACCACGTCACGTTTTGAGACGTCACTGCGTGCGTTTACGTCCTGGGCATCCCTGCGTCACGTCTTCAAACAACACCCGGTGTGGCAAGTCATTCCGCGAACGCTGCATCATATGTGGCATTGCATTTGATCGATTGAATCCCACCTGTGCTATTCTCAGTGTTATTAGAGAATGGTAACAAAACCTTGCCAGCATAGTGTAGCCCGTGACAGTTCTGACTGGACAGGCGGCCACGCCCTGGTCGCTGCGTGCAGTCCGGTCACCCTCAGAAAAAGTGGCACTCTCCTAGTGAACTGCACTCAGACTCTGACATTGCTGTGTCGCAACGACTGCGTATCGTGAGCACACCCAATCCATTAACGTTATAATGGAGGAATTGGGTACGACAAGCCGATCGGAGGCGGTGGGAGATCTCAGTCGCTGCAAACATGCACGCTATAGCTGCAACAGGTAACGGCTGTCTAAGAATAATGTCACTCGGCAATGTGCATTGTGGATGCCGTCGGCTTTATTCCGGCAATCAATCATCCGAATTGGCGGACTATGACGGCGAAATGTCGTATTCCATTAGAGTCGCTGGCGGCGGCTGTGGGCTGAGCGGCCTGTGTGAAGCTCCGGTGGGGACACGCCGTCGAGCCGCCCCGACATTCGGAGAGCGCCAGAGTACAGCGGTTCTCGTTTACCGCCTGTCGCCGAATATGGGCCTACAGAGCGGCGGCTGGTCGGAGCGGCG